GAGAGAGAGAGAGAGAGAGAGAGAGAGAGAGAGAGGCTCTAGTCCATATGTATGTACGCGCACACACTAAAATATAAACACAGTTTTCTTCTCTCCCCCAAACTGACTTAACCCCAAACTCAGATTACACTAGCATAAGGCCCTACGTAGGAAATATCAGAATTTATAACTACTTTACTCTTATCTTGCAGTGTCAGAGACAGCTTTGTACCATTTGGATCCAAAACACTTATTTCCTGGTGCAGATAGAGCCTGAGGTAGTAGGATTTAACATCATAATGTTTTTAAATACAGAACTATAGCTATTTTAGAGGTTTTTCAAAATATTAACTAAATAAATATTTTCATACCTGCCTAGCCCCAAAGTATAATGGTTATGGCAAGTAAGGCACCTGGCTTCACAGGTGGAAGCGTACAAAAACTTGCCCCAATTAATATTTTAGAGAGTGCCTTAACATTCTCTAAAACAGTTTTTTGTAAAATATGCTGCATATAAAGAACACTCACATAAAAGGGCTTTAGGAAAACTCCCATATGGTTTCAGCACTCATTAATAATATGACTAATCTGAAAGACCAAATGCAGAGACCATGTATGTTAACGATATACATAGAATTACACACACATACTCATACTAAATATATAATTTCAGCACAAATAACTTTAAAAGTATATTAACTCCTTACCTTTTCTCAGCTGTATATTAATTCTCTTTCCTATCCTTTTTGTGTTATATCCACTGTTTGCAATGGAGGTAAGAACTTTTTGAGGGGATGGAGCCAGGCCTGATGGTGGTTTTCCTGATGAATTCACACTGTGAGGTAGCTGCGAGTAAGAGTCTGTCTGGTCCGACTGGTTACCCGCTCTAGATATTCTTTGTAAAGTGTGAAGTCCAGCATTGTTAATACTTTTGTTGTCAGCATACTGGGAATCAGGGCTAAACCGGCTGGAGTAGTAAGTGTTCTTCTCACTTTGGGATAACTGTTCATACTGCTCTTTATTTGCTGCAGGAACCACATGGAACCACATGATGGGTGCACGCATGGCTTGACGAAACATATGTTGTGCTCTAAGTTTAAAAAACGAACAGAGAATTAGCAAATTAAGACTGGCAGACTACAAAACATTACAAGCCTAATTACTGATGTTAATTAAGAAATGTGAGCCAATGGACGTATTTACTGAAACTAAAACACAAATCACAAACCTGAATCTGTTTATTAATCATCTACTGTGGCTGCTTTTTGCTAAGGTTTATTGCCATAGGGCCAAACTATGACTAAACATGCTCAACAAACAGCTCTGTACCTTACACATTACAGCAACAACTTTTACCACAATTACTGAGATGAATATGGTGTTATTGTTTAAATTCAGGATCCTTTTTTCCAGAAAGATAGTATCTATATTTACAATAATTACAACAGTGATGCAAACTAAATATGATTTTCACTACAATATCACCTAACATGAAATGAAGCTTGCTTCTGCACTTTCATATATGCTGTTTCCCAGCATAAAAACCTGAAAACAGAATGACTTTTCCTGGTCCTCCTTCAAAATTTGTCATCAAGGTCTATAAAGATATTATTTTTACTGTGTGGTGGTGCAGTACCAAGTACAATGGTATCCCAATCTACAGTAGGTATAATGGGAACTGACTACAAATATACATCTATCCCGGTGTATCAACATGAGACACTACAGTAGACTAATTCTCCTGCGCATTACCACATCATGGCAAAAGCTGTGCTAACACACTAATGTGTAGAAGAATTAGTCTACTGTGCATTAGCGTCACTAAAAAAAACGTGCGCCAGCACTACTGCACAACAGCACCAGTTACTATGCACTGAGGTAGTACCTGTTATTACAAGTACTGAACTTAACGCGCAGTAACAACGGCACATTAATGGGCATGTAGACATGCCCATTGTTTACATTGTTATTATTCCGTGCCCATTGTTTACATTGTTATTATTCTGTTAGCTACCAACACATTAGGTATTGATAGGTAAATTACTATTTTCAGATTTACTTCTAAATGGAATTTCAGTAGTATTTTTCTGATTAAGTTATTTTCTCTCTACTCCATTTTCTTTCAACTATTTTTGCATGTCCTATACCTGCTGTCACTTTAAAAAGCCTTCTTGGTTAAACATTTTGGGATTCCATCAAAGCTCATCCCCTTCCTAAGCAAAAATGTATAATGTCACAAATTTCTACAGGGAAGAACTGACTTTTGTGCATATCATACTTCCACATGAAGGAACACACATGTTTTAAAATGCCAAATAAGGGACTCCAAATTGTCTTAATATATTTAACATGTCACACTGTTTATAATAAAACAAGAATCCTGCTTTATTTTTCAAAATAAAACCAGACTCATTGTATTAGAGGGTAATGAAAATGGGCCCATAATGTTTAAGAAAAGAGGCATAAACCATCCAACAACAACAAAATCTACATATATTCTAATGATGGCAATTCTTCTGTAGTGCTGTAGCTTAACTAATTAAAAATCACTAATGCTGTAACAAACCATAGACTGTAGCTCTCCTTTATTAAAAAGAGCACACTAAGACAATTTGTTTTTAAACACTTTATTTCTTCAAATTACTACAACATGCAGTGGTTAAAGGTTAAACAAAGCAATATACTGTACAGTAAATGTACTTACTGTTCAAATCTCCTATTGCGAAGGTCTCCATCATTAATCCTGACAATACAATCATTCTCATGAAAAAGGTTTTCTTGTTCAGCTTTTCCACCTTTCTCCAGTCGTTTTACTAATAACCCCAGGGTTCTGGAACATTAAGATTACAAATGATTACACATCTAATATTTCCTCCGTACTGATTTAATATGCTTTCATGATAATCACTAAATCTACTCTAGTCCTAAACCACTGCTTAAAGAAAGACTAGTTTTGGACAAGAATATCAAAGTTTAAAATCTTCAATATACAAACAACCAACATCTGAATTAGTATCCACTTTTCATAGAACAAAGATTCTATCAGGGCATTACAGTTCTGAAATATGCATATAGCAGTAATGCCTGCATTTGCATTCAGCAAGGCAACTACATGTATTGTTGTACAAGAGACTTTGGCAATTATGAAGCCAAATTATGACTTCAACAATTAGCTCTCAGCAACACCTCCAAGGTAACAGCCTACATTATCTGACTTTGGGTGTTGGAAACAAGGGTAGAGCAAGTTACCTTACAATTCAAAGCTTCCATTAGATAGAGGAAACCTCAGCTACATTATTGTTTCCACATGGATTAAACATGCGGTTGTAATACATAAAAAAGCAACGTAGAATGAAGGGATGGTAGATTTAGGAACCCTACTTAGGCCAAATGGAATATAATCTGAGTAAACCAACAGAAAAGACAACAAAAATAAAACAAGCCTCCTACCCTAATATTGTTCTGTCATTGTAATATTTAAGCGTAGCTGCTGTAAAATGCTAGAGAAGAAAATTGTAGACAGCAGTGTGATCTTGAAATTGACAGTTTACCTTGAAGTAACCAGTTCTTATTTGTGTTAGTCTGAAGTCAAGTAGAAGGCAGGTAGAAGGCAGGGTAGATCTGCACCTTACTGACTAGCCCCCCTCCCCACACACACACACACTCCAGCTGATCTGAAGAAGTGAGCTTCAGCCCATGAAAGCTGAGGCAAACACACATGCACATACTATAACAGGGGAGCTCAACCTCCAGCTCACAGGCCAAGTGTGGCCTGCAGAGCCTTGGAATCTGGCCTGTGGTGCTCCCCCCAAGTTGGGAAATTTGGTGCCACGGGAACAGTGGCAGTACTGCCACACCACCCCACCGCCAAAATTTGAAGCCCCACAGGGCAAGTTGGAGCTGGGCCATGATCCTTCCCCCAACACAGCCAGATCTGAAACAGACCACCCCCCTTCCTCCAACTGGCGTTGGGGCCCAGCTATGCCCCCTTTCTCCTGTGGGGCTGAGCCACATGCTCTCCCCGTGCAAGGCTAGATTTGGGCTAGGCCATGCCCCCTCCTCACAAAAGGCTGTACAAACCAGGTCACAGTGCCCTCCCCCTGACAGGGCCAGGTTGTGGTGAAACCAAACCCCCATCTACTACACAGTGGAATCAGGACCAGGATGCCCCCAAATCCACCCTCTGCATGACTCAATGGGACCCTGCTAGATCCAGCCCACAGAGGGATCGAGCACTGCCCACCCAGTCTGCCAGCTAAAAAGGTTGAACACCAGCTCAACCTATAAGATAGGTGCAATTCTACCCTTCCTTCTACCTCTTATTGGACAGGGGTCCAAAAACCACACCTGCTGAAATTCTCAAAGACAGTGGTGAGCAAACATTTAACCTAAAATAGTTTCATAGTAGCTAGGGTCAGGAGGGACCTGAACAGATCATCTAGCCTGACCCCC